CTCAGCGAGCCGCGTCCAGGAGCTCCTGCTGTTCGGTCTGCCGGAGCTCGCAGCCCCACCCTCTTACCACGCGGCTCCAAGCGGGAGGACCTCAGACCCTGCCCGAGCCACGCCGCTGCAGCGCTGTCCAGGGCTGCTCCTGGCCGCGGCGTGCTGAGGTGCCGGGGGATATGGGCAGGCAGAGGCAGGGGGAGCCTCCGACATTCTCGTGGGGGCCCCTGCGGGGCCGGGGGCAAATTGCCCCACTTGCCCCCCCCCCCCCCCGGGCGGCCCTGTACAAGAGCATTCATGTGAGTTTGTGATAGAAACTTACAACTAGAGCTAAATGAAGTACTCATAATAAACAATTTGAGGAATGTAGCCCCTTTTTCTGTTTTGGATTATCTGCTAACAGACTTGGATTTTTATGGAGTTATTTGTTATTGATAATTGTTTGATTAAAACCTTATGGAAATATATTTCAGCCAATAGGCTGTTGACTTAGAGTAGGTCTTTTGCTATTTGCGGTGTGTAACTGGGCAATTAAGGCATGTGGTTTTGTTTTTGCTCTCTGATTGGGTATTATACCATTTTTTATTGTTTGTATTACTGTAGCACTTAGGGGGTCCTAGCCATGGTGAAGAACCCCTTACTTGTAATCAGATACCGCCCTCCCCCCAACTAAGGAGCTGCTTTTAATATTCAAATTACTCTAAAAGCCATGTGCATAGTGAGATTTGTCTTGAAAACTAGTAATCCACAACAGGGGGAAGTACACCCATTGAGATGAATGGGTCAGTTCACAACTATCGGAGCGATTGTGTCAGGTTGAATTAATCTCCATGGGGTGTTCTGATTCATTTGAGAACAGCCCATGGAGACGAATGAACCACTTAATTCCTTTGCAAATCTTTCATGATGTGGAGGGTTGTGCAGAGCTCCTTCCCCTATCCTAGCCCTGAAATGGAGTACGGAGCCTCGCTCCCAGACTGAGGGTCTGGAGGAGTCAGGAGAAAGGCAAAGCTAGTAGTTGAATGGCAGTGAGGTGTTCCCAGGAAGCCTCTGTGTGCCCCTCCATAGGTGCCACTTAACTACAACCACCTCCTCAAAAAACAAGGGAAATTCGTAACCCCAAAACTTGGT